TAAAACATACAACAATGTTCATTTCTTAGTGGAAAAATATCCATGTTTGGTAGAGCTGATCAATGATATTAATGATTGGTTAGGTAATTTGACTAGTTGTCTTAGGCATTTGGATCTGACTGTAACTTCTGGACAGTTTTGTGAGTCATGCGTGTAGTACAGAGCCGTTAACCTCTACCGGGACTACAGGTGATGTGTGACCCCGTTACAGCTGCTGGCAACAGTCATGCCTCATATTTATCTGAGGCCTGAAGATGAGTACAGTATTCAGCTTACATGTGTGTTTGCTCTTAGTATGTCACACATATAGATTTGCTTTGACCTGTTAAATCTGGTCTTGCCACATCAGAAACTTTCTTTTCATTATTGCTCTTAGTGTTACCTGAGAGACAGTGATGTTTGCATATTTGAATGAAAGGCATGCGGTTGTCCAATTTTGTGTTTTGTATTTGCCTTTGTTGTGTGCATTATATAAGAGTAGACATACCACTCCTGTAGATGGTCATTATCAAAATACTATCAGATGATGCTGGGCCAAATCAATTATGACCTTCAGATGAATTTACTGACTGTCATGTGGAGTTGTTCGGACTGTGTGCTTGATACTGTGCTTTGCTGTGATATGAAAAGTATTTTTTTGGAGTAAGTTTATTCAAAAGTTGTCCCTCTAGGGGTGCATATATTGCAACTTTTAAATGCACTTTATTTGGTCAAAATTGCCATTATTGGTATACTAATTTGTAGATTGTTCCTTGTCTTCTGATTAAGGAGTCTGTGAGCATTAAAACTTATATTTAAACTTCAGTAGCAAAAACAGTATTAGAGTTGATAAATTCATTTCATTATTCAGTTCAAACTGTATGTTTGAATCCAAGAATCATTCAGATTCAATTAATATAGTATATTTTTAGCATCATCTCTCACATATTGTCGTTTATTACCTTATATTTTTATACATAGCATTGCAAAATTGTTAAAAACAGTGGAATACATTTATACATATTACTTATACATACACATACACTTGGAATACATGCACTTGATTTATTATTAGCAAATTATTATTACGAATTATTCGCTTTTTTGGTCGAACAAGTTTTTTTGGTCGAAGTGATTGATCCTCTAGTTGAAAATAAGCTATTTATTGCAAATGCATACATATTGATTGATTTATACAGGTCAGGATGCATCTTTAATATCAGAAAGCTGAAAATTTTGGCCTATATATTATTCAGTTGTAATTTAACAGTCTTTGCCAAACATATGTTGCCTGCTCTCTGTATGTCTATTAATTAAGTGTCCATGACACTAAATGATGCGATGAAATGTAAATGAAAAAAACATTTACATTTATTCATTTAGCTGACGCTTTTATCCAAAGTGACTTACAAGTGCTATGTCAGAGGTCGCACGCCTCTGGAGCAACTAGGGGTTAAGTGTCTTGCTCAGGGACACATTGGTGTCTCGCAGTGAATTCGAACCCGGGTCTCTCACACCAAAGGCATGTGTCTTATCCACTGCGCCATCACCACCCATAAAATGCAACATGTTCATCAAAGATGACAAAATATAAATTAAATATAATCATATATTGTGTCATGCAGGGAATTCTGGGAATGTCCTTTTACTGTTTTTTACGGTTAATTCAAAGGTTTTACTTCCAAAATCCATTATTCATACATTATTTTACAGTAAAATGACATGTAATGCAATATTAAACCATGTAACTTTTATAGTTAACCAATGTACAGGTTTTTTAATATATTTATATTAGGTCTGCGGTTAATCACATCCAAAATAAAAGTTTGTGTTTACATAATATATCTATGTGTTGTGTGTATAATGTATATATTTAAGAAATATTTGCATGTATATACTTTATATATTTATACAAAATTAATAGGATGCATAAATATAAATATATGATATATTAATAACACATTTTTCTTAAATATATACATGCATGTGTGTATATTTATATATACAAAATAATTATACACACACACACATATTTTTCATAAACTTTCATTTTGGATGCGATTAATCGTTTCACAGCCCAATATATATATATATATATATATAGATTATTTTTACAAAAGTGCATACTCAAGTTAATTTCTGTGATATGGATCAGGAAAAATAACTTGACACATTTATATTTTTGCTATAGTTTTGATTCCAGAATTTCTACCAAAGGGCTGTTCATCCTACAGCAGGTGCCAAGTATCCATCTGGGGCCAACTAAACATACAATTAAAACGTGGACAGAGACGTTTTAGAGCGGTTTCTTCTCAAAACTCTTATTCGCATCATAATTACACCCTTGGATATGAGCGTATTCTGCTCAAGGCTTGTGCATCGTCATTTTCAGCTGTCTGTCTCGCAGTCATGACTCAATCCATCAGCCCAACGGTACTGAGCTGCTTCCAGCCTTCACATAAATCGCTCAGAGGGGCGGACATAGAGAGAGCGCAGCAGGGAGAGGAGAAACAAAAGAGAGGAGGATGGAAACAAAAGCCGCTGTGATCCGCTGACACCCTCGAGGCCTTACGAGGGAGGGTGAGAAAGTTGAAGAGGGGAATAAGAGAAAGGGAGGAGGAGGAAGTAGGAGAGAAATAAAGAGAAGGGTGGGGTGGGCGCACAATGCGAGTTTTGTTGCTGGTTGCTAATCATGTGATGGTTGTTTCTCTGAATGCTGAGACACTGGAAGTCCAGTCAGGGAAAATGAGAGGGATGAGTCAGCAGAGGGTCACAGCCACAGCAGGGCGAGAAAACAATCTGACCCCGAAATATTTGTCCTGACTCGAACATGATGGTTTTGAGGAGTCACTCCTAAATAGCCAGTCAGTGATCTTTCTGAATGTACACTTCTATTATGTATATTTTAAGTTTGATGTTGAACGTTTGTGTTGCATCTGTGGGTTTGAGAAAGGGATTATAATACTTTACTTTTATTAAGTTTGACATGATTTGTCTTCTTCTTTTTTTAGCATGTACCATTTAATTGAAAGGAAGTTGTGAAACACTACATATTTTCAAAGTTGTCCAACCCTTTGGGTTGTCTGAATTAGTCAACTAGTAGTTGGAAAAATTATGGTCTATTGCCTATTTAGCATGAATTCCGTTTTCTCCGTAGTGGTCCACTGATATCTGTTTAAAGGTTCAATAATGGAAATTAGAGAGAACAATGGACACTGGCCAATATACTGCAATATAATTGGGCTGTATTCCCACAAAAGCAGAATACAGTCGTCAGTTGATTACAGTTCACTTACAAAAGAGATTGAACACCTCTTTCCGTAACTTGTGGAACTGCCTTCCTCTTTCAAGAGAGTGAGAGTGATTCAGAGAGTATGTTTAGATGAAGTGTGCTGCATGAATGAGGCCAGTCAACAACTAGTTGCCTGACAAGACATATGTGAGTATCTGTTACGTTTCAGGTTGTTTTGTTCTTGTCAAGCACTAATGTTACACTCATCCATGCTCGGGTTATGAAATCAAAAAAATATTTTTTCAAAAAAATAATTTAATTCAGCAAGTGCTTTAAATTGATTCTGTAAATGCATTTATAAATGTAAACTTTTTGATCATCAAATAATCATGAAAAAGATCTCACAGTAAACAATATTAATCAGCAGAACTGTCTTCAAACGTTAAAAAAGTTTCTTGAGCACTAAATCAGCATGTTAGAAGGATTTTTTAATAATCATGTGACCCTGAAGACTGAAAATTAAGCTTTGCTATCACAGAAATAAATTACGTTAAATATATTAAAATAGAAAACAGTTTTTTTAAATTGAAATAACATTTCACAAAATTACTGTTTTACTGTATTTTTTTTTAATCAAATAAAATTGCAGCTTTGGTGATATTTAAACTTGTTCTATGGGTTAGTTATTTTGGTTAGTATTGGCTAGTAGTAGTTTTTACAACTGCATTCAGTTGTAGTTTACAATAATGTAGTATAAGAGTATTGCATTTGTCACAAAATGTTTTTTGCCCACTCTTTGCTCACTGACGGTCTCAGATGTATTGTTTGCAAGTCTTTATTTATATATATATATATATATATATATATATATATATATATATATATATATATAGACGCAAGGAAGAGGCCATTCATTTATTTTTGTATTATATCAGATTTATTTTTATACCAGATTTGAGGTTTTTGTTTTGGGTCACTGGGTACAAAGTTGTCCCTTAAAATATAGTTAAGTAGACCTGACCCCTAAACTTACCCATCACACACATACACACACTAACCCGACCCCGAAACCTACCCAACTCACGCACACATACACACAACACAGTTCATTAAACTGTCTACCAAAGTCATGTACAACACCATGTTCAGTCTAATTCATGGGAACTATCCCTGTCCTGTTATGACAGCAGGATAACAAACGAGAGTGTTTTCATTACAGCTCAGTAGCTTCTCTGCAAGATATTGAGCACATTTCTCACCTTACCAGCTGTAGTCCTGGTTTTCCCAGCACCGAGTTTCCGTTAAGACTTACTTTTGCCACAGTGCATTAGAATAATAATAAGCCTCTGGTGGTTCACATTTCTATGTGTTTAACTGCATGTAAGGCTAATCATTGCCCCACCTAAAATCACAGGCCTAAAGCACATGTCGTGAGCATACGGGATGGGTGAGTGATGGAGAGATGGGTTGTATAACATGCAAAATTCAAACCCAGACTCGGATTAAAGATGAAAAGTCATAGGTCATTCACAAAGTGTTTTGTTTTCATATGGAAAGAATGGACTCATAGCCATATATATTTATCATAAACCCACTGATAACTTTTTAGATTGCTGACACAATCCTAAATTTATGCACGCAAAATGAAATGCATGTATATTTTTATTTACATAACTTTTATTTCCTGGGGTTTTGTTGTCTAAACTGTCATGCAAGCAATTGGTCAATTGTTGCTGTCGTTTCTCACATTGTCTCCTCTCTACCCTTTCTTTCCCTCCATCTTTTACAGTTTGAGTGAGAGCTTCTTCATGGTCAAGGGGGCCGCTCTGTTTTTGCAGCAGGGCAGTTGTCCACAGGGTCCGAGAGGTCAAACTCACCACAAGCATGCAGGTCAGTCCGTGCATGCACTTCAATGGGATTGAGGGGTTTGGATACAATCTGTCTCCTCCCTTGGATCACACGTGACGTCAGTGTGTTCCTCAGTTTATATAAGCAGCCAAAGTACAGGTGACGTTTTTGAATGCTCACTGTTATTTGAGTCAACAGTATATTAACGATCCTGTATTAACTGTCCTTCAGGGCCTGTATTACTCTGATAATTTATAACTTTTTTCAAATCTTAAAGGAGTAGTTCACTTTAAAAAAAAAAACAACTTTTGCTGATAATTTACTCACCCCCATGTCATCCAAGATATCCATGTCTTTCTTTCTTCAGTTGAAAAGAAATTAAGGTTTTTGATGAAAACATTCCAGGATTTTCTCCATATAATGGACTTCAATGGGAACCAAACGGTTCAAGGTTCAAATGAGAGTTTCAGTGCAGCTTCAAAGGGCTTTAAACGACACCAGACGATGAATAAGGGTCTTATCTAGCGAAACGATCGGTCATTTAAAAATAAATTAAAAAGTTTAAGTTTTATAAGCAGAAATGGTCGCCTTGCTCTGTTCTGTGATGAGCGTTCGTGACTCTCCTGTTCGAACTCGTTCATCAAAATGAACGAATCTTTTTTCGAGTCATGACTCGTCTGGTGTCATTTAAAGCCCTTTGAAGCTGCACTGAAACTCTCATTTGGTCCTTGAAGCGTCTGGTTCCCAATGAAGTACATTATATGGAGAAAATCCTGAAACGTTTTCATCAAAAACCTTAATTTCTTTTCGACTGTAGAAAGAAAGACGTGGACATCTTGGATGACATGGGGGTGAGTAAATTATCAGCAAAAGTTTTTTACTCCTTTAAGTCAATAATTAATCTAAGAAGTTGATGTCATTTTACATTATAGACAAAAACAGTTTGAATTATGGTGTTTTGGTGGAAATAATGGTTACTATTTTAGTTCTTGTAAAGGTGACTTTCAAAGCAGCACGATTAATCGTTAAAAGTTCTCGATTCAAAAACCCACACAGTCATGTTCCTAAATGACAACGATTCGGCTATGTCTATTTAACTTTTGACAAAACAACACCGTCTGTCCTGAGAGGGAAATTCAGAAATTCTGCAGCAGATGCTGTCTAGCTGACGGACGGACTCAGTGCTGGCTAAGCGTGTCCCAGACAAGTGTGTGTGTGTTTGTTTGTGGATTAGCCAGATTAGCAGTTTAGCTCAGCACATTGGGACTGTGAGAACATCACTTCTTATAGACAGGGCACACCGAATGGGAACACAAAAATATATATATTTTTTAATTATTTAAAACAAATATATAATTTATGGGACAGTTGACACCAGAAAGGAACATATTTGTAGAGAGGCTATCTGTATAGACACACATATAAAATATTTTAGTTATGCATACCAAAAGTGGAGCTTGTTTTCTCATTATATGTGGTGGTAAGTTGTCACAATAACAACCTATTGTGGGTAAATGTCAACAAACAGTAATGAAAAACACAGAATGATATTGGGATTTTAATTTTTGAAGACAGAACTCACAAACCATTTTTATCTACTGTAGTTTGAAACTACAATACAAAACCACTGCTAGAAAAACAAGCATGTGCAATTCTTCTGCCACATTTAATAAGTCGATCAAAGACTGTTTCTCCTCAGCAACAATGACAACAGATGTCCCAGCCACCATCAGTCCAGCATCTTCTAATCTAACACGTGTGACACGTTGAATTTATTAGACATGTTTACTGCTAAACAGAAGGTTGTTGCTTCGGGTGAATTGAATCTGTTATGAGAGAAACTACACAGCATGCAGACACAACAAACCCTCAGGCTTTATGCGCTGACTATCTCGCCACGCTTTCAGACAGCTTTTCATATCACGGCAGGTTTAGACGGATTTTTTTTTTTTAATGGCCCCCTCATGTCATCTGATATTATCAAGCATCTGTTTTGTCAGTTGGCTAATTTTACACTGTCGTATTGTTGGGATGTGCGGTTTCGATTTGACGTGCTGATCCACAGGTGTGTTACACACAGGTTTGACGAGTGGTTTTGTTTTTACATTGTCTCGGGGCACGTAGTGTTTTGAGCTTCGCTTGAGTCATGAGCTTTTTGTGAAATGTCCGAATAATTAACTCAACTGCCCGTCAATCACAAGATGAACACTTCCTATAAAGTGACTTACAGTATGCAGACAGTCTAGAAGATCTAGAACTCTTGAAAAAGGTAGAGAAGTCAGCGGTCTCCATTGAGAAACAGCGGATGTCTGCGTTAGACCAGACGATGCAAGGTTTCTCTTCCTCTGTTGCAGTCTGGGGACAGAATGTTCTCTGATAGTAAGAATAGCTCTGCTTTTTTCTTGTCACAGTTTAATATTCATTCATGAGGAAAATCCTCTGTACTCATTCTAAAGGTAAATCAAGCTCTAAAATATCTTCTCTTTAAATATCCTTGCTTTTAGATGTTAGGTCCTGTCAGGTTTTTAAAAAAAAAAAAAAAAAAAATTATTTGACGTCATCAGTCACATCTATTTGCATTCGCATGGTGCCAGGAGCCAGACAGTCTAAAATAGTATCAGCTGTGGTGTATTAAATACTACTGTACAACTTCCTGAAGCAAGATACACCATAAATATTTGCAACTGTGCCATAAATGTGTGTATAATGAGTGAGTGAAATAACGAGATAAAGGAAAGGTTCTTTAGAGGTCCTTGGAGACAAAACACAATGGCAAAATTAAAGGGGTCATAAGATGAGGAATTACATTTCTCCTAATCTTTTGAGATGAAATAGTTCAATGTACTTAAAAAATACACTACTGTTCAAAAGGTTGGGGCCGATATGATTTTAAAAGAAGACTATTACCATTTAAAATAATGTTTTATTTTGTTTATCTGTTTTCTATTTTAATATTTTTTATATTATCTTGATTGCAAAGCTGATTTTTTTTTTCAGCGTCATTGCTACAGTCTTCAGTGTCACATGATCCTTCAGAAATCATTCTAATATGCTGATTTGGTGCTCAAGAAACACATTGGCTTTGTTTCTTAGTACTTATAAAGCGCATATTAATGCCTTATTCTGCATGACCTTATTCTACATCTCTTAATCCTACCCAATATGCAAACTTAAAAGCTACAAAATCTACATTAATGATGGGTTTGAGGCAAAAGTGGTGGGTAATACTTTAATATGGGGAACACATATTCACTGTTACCAATATTTCTTGTTATCAGTGTTGAAAACAGTTATTTTTGAGTAAACCAAGATACATTCTTTTTTTTTAGGATTATTTGGTGTATAGAAAGCTCAAATTAACAGCATTTATTTGAATGAAACATTTTGTATCAAAGTCTTTTATTGTCACTTTTGATCAATTAAATGCATCCTTGCAGAAAAAAAGTATTATTTCTTTTAAAAAATTACTTAATTACCCCAAACTTTGAATGGTAGTGCATACTATAAATTTCAGCACTCAAACCCCTTTTGCCAAGTGTTTATAATTTTAAAAATGACTCTTATAGTGAGTGCTTTATTAAACAAAGATAAAAGTGTTGTGTTTGTTTAAATGAATTTTGCTGCTTGTTCAAATTGCTTTATTAAAATGAGCTTAAGCAACACAAATTTTGTCCAAACTTAATTTGATTGTGTTCAATCTGCTTAAATATATGTTACATTTAAGTTTACTTAATCCGTTTGTGTTGGATTACATGAATGATTTGTGTTGCATTAACTGAAATAAAAAAAGGGTTATAAAGTGCTATAGCCAATAGATGGCTATAGTCTAGTAATTGATTACTGTGACTCTAAAATAAATGATATTGCATTGGATGAATGAATATATGAATTTGAATACCTGAATCATATCAGGAGACAGGGAGCCTTTTTAAATTCACTGACACTATTAAATAAGGCTGTGCCCAAACATAGGAAATAAGTTTAATCAACCTTAATGAAATAAGTTGACCCAACGCAAGTACAATATGTTGGAATAACATAATTGCATAATACTGAAATAAAGCAAGTTAATCATATGGAAATCCTTTCCATGATTTTTTTTATGTTCATTCAGAGTTATTTTTAGAAATTAAGCGATGAATCACTGTCAAAATCATACCTGTTGGAGAAAACTGCGTGCCAAACTGTGCTCAATTAGTCACAATACTTATTTAACTAATAGCTCATGCAGAAATGTAAATTCTGTCCAAACTTGATGACTTTCTTTAGTATAGGAAAAGAAGCGATTCTTTTTTTTTTTTTTTAAATGAATGTACTAGCTGCATTTTTCCGTGCACATAATGTGAATTGGGACTGGACTTTTAAGCTTGAAAAAGAATGCAACAAAAGTGATCCATATGACTTGTGAGAGAAACGACAATGTCAACAAATTTTGAATGAATCAAACATGAGTTGCTTCACAAAAGCAGTCTGTTTGTTCATGAGTTGGACTGATCCTGACTCAATGATTTGATCACAATGATTCTTCAGTTAACAGTGTGCTGGTGGAGAAGTTCATAAGAATTTCATCATAACACACAAATCATATGGATCATTTTAACATGACCTTTATGGTACTTTTGCTTCTATTTTGAAGCTTGAAGCTTCAATCCCTATTCATTCTAATTGCATGGCGGGAACAAGATCTGGACATTGGCAGAATTTTTTTGTGTTTCTTGGAACTCAAACAGGTATGTAATGACATGCATGTGAGTAAAAGATGATGAAATGTCATTTTTTGAGTAAACTATTCCTTTAACGATGATTCTCAGTCTTGCATGCTTCTGATCAAAGCTGTGCCTTGGGATCCCGTTCTGCCTTAGGGGTTCCTTTACATATCAGTTTTTATCAGATAAGCATGTAAAGTTATGTAAATTATTGTGACGGAGACCCAGAAGACCAAGAGGCTTGTTCTGTTGGAGGAGAAAACATACCCCTTCTTTTCATACATGTCCCAAATGCAAAGCAGCCCATAAACCATAGAGAACATCATCTGTTCTGTTAAGTATACATGACAAGATCTATCTTTTTATCTGAGTTTATTTGGTTTTCACGTTTCTGGCTTTGTTCTTAACCTCCTCGCACACTTTGATTGGCCTCCCACATGTCCCACAGCAGTTACATCATAGCTTCATTGATTCTGCCAAAGCCTACAAGAGTAGGAGGAGGTTTGTTTGGGTAGGAACACACCACAGTCCGAGGAGTTAGTCCGTCTGTGTTGAGGAGGAGAAGGAAATGTAAACAGATTGTGTGTATTCAAGACTTGGAATCTCTTATTGACTTGCATCAAAAGGGGCGGGGCTAGAATAAGATGACTTTCAAGGTTGTCAGATTTATAATTATAGATAGCTTTGGCACAAAGGATGGAACTTATTTACTCATACCTGATCACAATGCAACCGAAAGTTGCTTATTCATGTCAATTTATATTATATGAGACATGTAAACGCAAGAACATTTTCTTTGTGCATTTTTGGACACTTGTACTCTGGAGCCTCGTAAAATCAGCAGCGCTATAAAGAACGTTAATTAAAAGCATACCGTTGTCTTCCCACCCAACACTTAAAGACTGATTCGTATCACTCAGCAGGCGTTCTTCTTGGCATGCTTGCTCTTATAAACCTTAGTTCACTCCTTACTTTTATGACATCACTTTAAAGTCAGCTTGTTTACTGTAGTGGTTGTTTTTCTTCAATAGATTTCCAATATGGGTTTGAGACGCCGCTGGTGTCAATGTAAACGAAATAGTCGTCATGGTTTTGTTTGGATTGTAACAATGGTTTCACTCAACAGGTGACTTACCTCAGCATCTACAGGTGATGATCAACATTCTTCGATCTGAAGACCGCATCAAACTGGTGAGAGAACACACAAGCTGTCAGTGACTAACATTTTGGCAGTGAGTTACGTGCAGTCAGGCTGAATGGGTTTTATTGTCAACGCGCTGCCTAAAGCTTGTTTTCCTTTGCCGTGTGTGTAAAGGCACGTTTAAATGTCTTAGTAGCTGTTACTGAGGGTTCAATGGTGGTGAAATATACAAATAGAAGTGTCAATCACTTGTGACATGTTGATTTCTGTGCATGCATCTGCATTTGTCTTTAAAATGAAAGTTCAGTCATTGTTAACTAAACCTCGTCATGACATTCCAAACCCATTACAAAAGAATCATTTTAAAATATATGCGATCTGTGGTGGCACCATAAAAATCGCATCCAAAAATAAAAGTTTGTGTTTGCATAATATATGTGGGTGCACTGTGTATAATTATTTTGTATATATAAATACACACAAATGCATGTATATTTAAGAAAAAAAAATATAATTTATTTGTAAAATATTTATATTTATATATAATATAAATTATATATAAATCTATATACATGAAAATATTTCTTAAATATATACAAGCATGTGTGTGTATTTATATATATAAAATAATTATACACAGTGCACCCACATATATTATGTAAACACAAACTTTTATTTTGGATCCGATTAATCGTTTGACAGCCCTATTCAAGATATCTTTATTCTATATTAAAAAATTTACATTTTAATGACTTTGATCACAAAAACCTATGGTGTTTGGTGTCAAATTATGTCATTTTTACAGTCTATTCATCTTTTTGATAGCCCCAGTGGATAGTCAGTGATTTCAGTCTTTTCCTTACACAAAGCAATACTGTATGTATGAATTAAAAACCGTGGTTCTCAACCCGCGGTTAAAGTTATATTAACACAATCTTTATTAACATACTAAACAATTAGTTTATTCGTTTTTGTTACGATAGAAGTACCATAGGTACATATCAGCTTAGATAGGAAGGTCTTCAAATATTGTCTTGAATATTTGCCTTGGAGTCAAAAAGGTTTAGAAGAAAATATAGTTTTATAGCTCTTTTTAAGCTTGACATGTGTATGGGGTGAAAAATCTGTGAAGATTCTTCACAATGCTCCTGTTGTGTGTTACTCAGAGAGAAAAAAAACATACGGGTTTGGAAAGACATGAGGATGAGTGAATAAAGACTGAATTTTCGTTTTCAGGTGATCTATTTTTGTAAGACAATTCAGTATGTTAATATGTTTAATAATATATTTTAATATATTGTGTTTGTGGCTCTGTTTTTGCACTAAACAAAACTGAAATGTGCAGGCGGTGCGGTTAGAGAGTGCGTGGTCAGACCGTGTGCGGTACATGGTGGTAGTCTACACAAATGGCCGTCAAGACACTGAGGAGAACATCTTGCTGGGGATGGACTTTAGCAACAAAGACAGGTGACTTCATTCAAACAGAACCGTTTAGGAGTTTTGTTTCCTCCTGCAGGGACATTACAGAACGTAAAATAAGTGTGTTTTTCTTTCATTCACAGTAAGAACTGCTCTATTGGGATGGTGCTGCCACTGTGGAGTGACACAAAGATTCATTTAGATGGTGATGGGTGAGTACTGCCCCCTCTGGGAATGGAGAGGAAATGCGGCACTGCTGGCCACTTCAGCATTTAATGCACACATCTAGATAGCATTAATTCCAAACAGTTTTGATTTGAAATGAAGAATATGACAATATTAACTAGCATTCATTATGTATATTGTTATTTAGAAATGTTGTAGTTCTTTTATGACGTGCGATGGCCTTAGTTAACCTCTCTTCTCATGTCTCCAGAGGCTTCAGTATGACTACCGCCGGGCGCACGCACATATTCAAGCCGGTGTCAGTCCAGGCCATGTGGTGAGAAAATAAAGTCAATAATTAATGTACTAGAGCAATTTAAATTCACATTTTAGAAATTTCAGTCTGTAGAACATGCTGACCTATTAGAAGGATTTTGTGGTCATGTTCAACAATGGCTCTCCTTTTACCAGTTTTTCTTGTCTAAACTGTGTAAGAGGTCATTTAAGTGCTTAATTCACCCTAAACCACTCTATAATAATTTAAAAAATCATTCAGAACTTATTTCCAATCTTTCATGTTATTATTTGTCTTACAATCAACTCTCTTAATTTTTTTTCCCCACCAAGAGCCACTATCTAGTTGGCTGGGTGAATTTATGCACTTGTTTTTTTACTGGGGTAGAAAAACAGCTCCTCAGGGGGTTGAAGATGACATGAGTGAACTGTTTTTCAGATGTCCTCAGGTGCTTTGGGACTTTACGTCTTTAAATATAATAGAGTGCCACACTGCCATCTGGTGTCTCATTCAAACAAATACTGTGGTAGTACCATGGTAGTGTATATCAGATCATCAGATAAGCCATGTTGAACATGACACCTTGATATACCAATAAATTAAACTATACCAGTGATTACTGAACGATTGCCATATCCAACATACTGACCAAAAAACACAGTAATACCTTTTTAGTGAACAGAAGTTATGAGTGCTGGTTCCAATGCAATTTTATAGCATTTAGACCTGTAGATCTTTTGCTCATTCTGAAGCTGGGAATACAATGTTGCAATATTTTGGTGCAGATATGAGCGCAATTGCTGTTCATATATCCCCAATTAAGCTGAATCTGAGGGAGAAAACTCACGAGGTCCCGAAACAAATGAGCCTGGTGGGAAATGCCCTTAATCAACTGAGATTAGGGTTATGTTTCACCAGTGTCATTTTTAACTCAATTTGAGACTCATTTTTAAGATTATAGTTTCTTTTATTGTGAAGCCATAGTAAATGGACCCCAAAAAGAGAAACTTGTATCATTTGCACAGGTCTCTCCATCTTGCTCACTTTTAACCTGCTCTTCCTTCAGGTCTGCATTGCAGATTTTACACAAGGCATGTGAGGTGTCACGAAGGTACAACTATTTCCCCGGCGGCATGGCGCTCACGTGGACGGGGTACTACGAGAGCTGTATCGGCTCTGAACAGAGCTGCATCAACGAGTGGAATGCCATGCAGGACCTGGAAACACTGCGACCAGACTCTCCTGCAGTCTTTGTTGACAAGTGAGTGCAGAGTCCTTTGCTCTTGTGAAAACTACAGTACATTGTCCTTTTGTGACCAACTGAGACTGAGCAAAACTAGACATATTTGTTGAGGGTTGTCACAATTTCATGTATCTGTAGGAACTGAGGAGATGCACTTTGAGTAAAGTTTTAAAAGAGCAGGGTGTAATGCAATTGGTTGAGCTAGTGAGCTAGAGCAATTGATTGCTGTGTTGAGCTAATCATGATGGTCAAACAAACAAATAATAGTACATTTCTTAAAATTCTTAATTTCTATGTAAAATTAAAAATATATTGTGTGGGTAGTTTTTTGGATATGATTTTTATATATTTTGTTTAGAATTTTTTTAAAGATTAAACAGTAATAATATTAATAAAATAACAGCAACCTTCACCTTGAAATGATGCTCTTTCTTGAACCCTTGATCGACATTGTGTTTTGTTTCTGTTTCTCAGGCCAACAGAGAGGGAGAGGACAGAATGTTTAATCAAATCCAGACTCAGGAGTATCATGATGTACCAGGACTTTGAAAATGTCACGTCCAAAGAGGTCAGCGGGAAATGCAGAGTGCATAAAAACACAGTTACACTTTGACATACTGAGTGATATATTGCACGAAAGACTCAAAATCATAAGTGGTCACAGAAGAAACATTTGAGACACCTTGCTTCCAGGATCCAGCAATGCGTTTTGGCTGAACAGATTATCAGATTTCAAGAGACTGATCTTAACAACAGTTGTAAACATAACAATTGTTGAGTCTGCAACTCAATAATGATGTGTGTTTTTCCTTAGATTCGTAGTGAGCTGGAACAACAGATGAACCGCAACCTGAAAGAGTACAAAGAGTTCATAGACAATGAGATGCTGCTTATTCTTGGGCAGATGGACAAAGCCACTCTCATCTTTGACCACCTTTATCTGGTTAGTGCTGCTTTTATCAGATCCATTTACATTTAGCTGACGCTTTTATCCAAAGCAATTTACAATTGCAATATATGTCAGAGGTCGCACGCCTCTGGACCAATTAGTCTTGCAGTGGATTTGAACCCGGGTCTCTCACACCAAAGGCATGTGTCTTATTCACTGCGCCATATTATTCACAACCCCATAGTTTCCCCCTCTTTTTTATTTGTTTTTATCATATAATGATGAGCAAATCACATCTCCCCCAGCTGACCCTACCCCAATATTAAAAATAATCCTTAAAAATAAAGTCATTAAGTATCCAAAATATAAAAAAATGATGACAAATTACATAAAAAGACAGACTGGTTAAATATGTACAAAATAAAAGCTGAAAAAGCTGAAGCACTTGTTTAAGAAGTTTGACCAGGAAGTTAGTTTTGATTTATTAATGTAAAGCTTGTTAGGTCTGTAGAAAAGCAGATGATATTTGTCATATATGGGGCACTAGATGCCAATTTCCCTAAAAAGCCGGTGATTTGCATCGTTTGTTTCTCAGGGTTCTGAATGGAACGCTTCTAATCTAGAGGAACTTCAGGAAACTGGGTGAGTTTCACCTTTTACTGGCATTCACAGTTTGTTTTCCTCCCATATTGTTGTTTTTTTTCAAGAGACGTCTTCTGTAAATGGGTTAATGTTCGGTAAATGTGAAAGTTTAAGGTGAGTATGTATCATATCACCTCTTAAAGGGTAACATTTTCTCCCGTTTCAGCTAAAGTTCAGAGTAAAGCATCAAAGCAGTTTCTTTTACTGCAAGAAGCAGGGTGTATTTTTAGTCCCTTATGTAAGGAACAGGAATAAACTTGCATGCAGTATGGATTTCTATTGTTGTCCAGATGTAATAATGGCATCTCCTCATTTAAATTCATTGCTATTTTTAGGGTGGGCTACATCTTAAATGTTACAAGGGAAATAGATAACTTTTTCCCAGGAACATTCTGCTACCACAACATCCGAGTGTATGACGACGAGGCCACAGACTTGCTGGCTCACTGGAACGAAACCTACAACTTTATTGTCAAAGCAAAGTAAGGCACTTTTCTATTAAAAAAGTAACATACTTTTCTCTTTCCTTATGATTTGTCACGCCCTCCGTGCTGTTTTGTTCTCTACTCTACAGAAAGAATCAATCCAAATGCTTGGTTCACTGTAAGATGGGCGTAAGCCGCTCGGCCTCTACTGTAATAGCATATGCAATGAAAGAGAATGGCTGGACTCTGGAGAAAGCATATAACTTTGTCAAACAGAAGCGCAGTATCACCCGTCCCAATGCCAGCTTCATGAGACAGCTGGCGGAGTATGAGGGCATACTGGATGCCAGGTACAAGAGAAATTAGCTTTTTTATTGTAATCTGGTATGTGTATTACTTGTTAATGGATTACCCTAAAATATTTATTTGTATACATTTCTTTCCTCTCTGTACCAGATTTTTTGAAAGATGTCATTTTTTATTTATTTTTTAAAATAAAAGTTAGGGCCCAGTGTTGCTTTTGGAACACATTGACTTTCATTGTATAGACACGACACATTTTTTTTCTTTCTTTGTTTATAAATTATAAGTAATTGTAAATAAATAAATTAAAAATTTATATAAAATAATTTATCCAAAAATCGATTAATCAAAGAAACATTCTTTCCTGAAACTATCTTCTTTTTCAGTTTTGGAGAATAAAGTCACACAGGTTTGAAACGACAAAAGAATTGTCTTTTTTTCTTTCAGTAAGCAGCGTCATAACCGCCTGTGGCATCCTGATTCAGATTGCGATCACCCTGACTGTGAGCAAGCTGCTTCCCCTTGCTGTGTGGATGCAGAGACTGTGGATCACGTTACCCCTGACCCCACTAACCCCAGGGTCACCGTATACTGCGAGCCTACCGCCCACTCCTCTCCAATTAGCCTAGATCTTGACCCCGGCCACCCACAAAACTACCACTACTACTTCCGCCGCCTGTCTGACTCGGCCCTCGACAGCAACCCTTCCACGCCTGTCCATGCACCGCCTCTGGTGGATGTAAATCGTGTCTTCATCGAGGTTTCTGATGTGGAGCAAGATGCGCTTCTCGACGATGAAACCATCGAAGGGCGCGCCGGCCCTCATTTACCCCATTCCGGTGTCCCAGAAGAGGGTACGACCGCTCGAACCTGTTCTCGAGGGGCGGAGCCTTTGGAGGAACTACGTCTACGTTTGGAGTTCAGCACGGTGGAGGAGGAGGATGAAGAGGAGGCTCAGAAAGAGCAAGCAGAAATGGAGGCGTTAGCAGAGGGAACGAAGGGAGGAGATGAAAATGAGGGAGGAAGGAAGGATAGTGAGGAGTTGTCAAATAAAGAGGGGATTGAACTTGCAAGCCTGAACCATCTGTGCAATGAGAACTCCAACAACAATAACCACCTCAGAACGCAACAAAAGCTCACTGTAAGTTTCTTGCACCAAGTATTAGCACCATTTGCATCACATATTATTTGCATTACATCGTTGTTTCTTGTCTTTTCTTGTTCAGGAAAGTGCCCATCTAAAGCAGCACGCTAAGCCGAGGCTTGCTCCTAGTATGTTGTTCGCTTCCAAGCCCACCCAGAGTGCTCTGTTGGAGACTAACAGACAAGGCCTTGCCCCTTTACTCCTCAACAGTGTTATCTCTATACCCAATATCTCTATTCAGACGCCACCCTGTGCCAACTTTCCCATGACAGCCAAGTGTGGCAAGCTTGCCTCAGATCTGTGCCTTGATGCCAATGCAATGCCCTCGGGGCATAAAGATAAGCCAGAAAGCAAATCTCTTGACAAAGAAACCGAGAACCGGACTCCGATGCTTGAGGCCAAAGGGGAAGGAGATTTCAGACAGAAAATGAGTGATGCACAAGGTTCCTCTGCTCTACACAGGAACGAGAGAGAGATGAAGGGCTTGGAGAAGGTGGAGCCCGCTTGTTCTCCCCAACAACAAGAGACCCTGATGCAGCTGCAACGCTCTGGCCTCGTTCGTCGCCGGAAAGAGCGATTGGAAAAACTCTCCGGTCTCTTCCAGGAGCGTGCACGTGCAAACGAGCACCGGGGAGCGGGTTCAAGCAAAGTCGAGGACGCAACAAACAATTCCAGTGAATTGCCTTTTGGATCACGGGTGGAGTTCACCCCCGAAGCAGAAGTGCCACTGACGAATGAAGTCTTGTTGGCGGTCCTCGGGTCAGGTGGCCAGACACCGGTCTCCTCCCCGCATGGTTCCACGCTCACCCGCAGCTCCAGCAGCGACAGCCTCCGCAGCGTACGCGGCAAACCAGGCCTTGTGCGTCAACGTACCCAAGAAATCGAAGCCCGAATGCGACTTGCAGGACTCACTGTACCTTCTCGACTAAAGCGTTCCAACTCACTCGCCAAACTAGGCAGCCTCACCTTCTCATCTGAGGACTTGTGCTCGGCATGCTCCTCTGATGCAGGGACCCTTCTCATGCTGTCGTTGTCCCCAGAACCTGAGCACTCGCTCAGCCCGGAATGGGCCAGACCGTGGCCCTCTTCCTCGTCCTCGACCTCCACCAACATGGAGGTCTTCAACCAAGGCGAAGCTGGACCCGAAGAGTCCAAGAGCTGACAGCGGGAAACAGTTTTAGAGCAACAGTACCTTTGGTTTCAGCTTCACCTGGAGTTCTGCAGCAATGTTACTGATATTTATATTTATATATTTTTTAAACATTTCAGCCACTTGGGGAAAATTGGCCATTCACAGAAGTTCTTGAGGTGAACAGATCTAACGAGTTGGGTAAACAGTGTCTTCTACAAAAGAATGGCTTTCTGTTATGAATCCAAAACCTTCTGGACTGGCTCAATAGATGTGTATTGCACTGAGTGACGAACAGTTCATGAGGTTTTCCTCTCTGCTGTTCTGAAGCAAAATAAGCACTCGCCATCCCAGAGGCCATTACTTGAAAGCGTCAAAATAGACTATTGTGTAATGTTTCCATCAGCCCACCCATTTATCGCTCCATAAATCACTTAATTGTCGCCCGGTATGAGTCACATATTCCTTCGGACATGGTCACACATTTGAAAAGGCTTTCAAAAAAATCATACACCCTGCTGTGCTCATGCTTCCTGGCGTGATGGTGAAAGGAAATGGACTTTTTGCCGTGATTAGGAACGTTTTTTTGTATGCTGATGGACTCTTTTATCATTCACAAAGCACTGATGATTAACTCACAGGTTTCAAAGTAGTACCTCATACCAGTATAGTACTGTTCGTAAGCCAGGCAGATAACTAAACAGGATGACTGGCAGCACTTCAACGCAGTGTGGTGTGGAGGCTCATTGGGAAAGCTGATGGAGGACCACCAAAAGGAGATTTGTTTGGGATTCTGCCATCTTTTTAATACTTGATGATGGTATTGAAAGACAAATCGGAGGCAACTTCAAGCTGCTGTTTTCAATCCACTGAAACGCTCATAGATGCAGTTTCCGATCTTACGAATGTGACTGTCCATGTTGCTGTCAAAATGGCGGTAGGGTTTTGGGGAAATGTTACTGTTACAGTCTCTAATAGCACATACTTGTTCTTGTAGAGATTTTATATCATTGCAAACTCCTCCGTAGTAGTTTCTCTAGCAGAAGAGCTGCTCCAAATGTGATGCAAATGATTCATTTACTCATGTAAAGAGTGACTGTTATTTTAAAGGACTTGTTCCAGAGGCAGTGGCTTGTTCATACCAACCGGAACTGAAGATTTTGCAGTTTGCAGATGATTCAATCCCACCACATAATGGCTTTACTGTTCTAACTCTTTTTCCTGTTTGTACTCGCTGTCAGTTTTCCATAATGAAATCAAAGTAAGGTAGATTGGACTGAAGATGGTCGCTCTGAAACAAGATCAGACTACAATTACAAGGGAAAGGTGTGGAATGGTTTCAATAACTGTTAAACTGTGAGTGTGTGTTTTTGTGTGGGTGAATCTCACAAAAGCATTTCCAGGTCACATTTCGGCCCAAAAAATCAGAAGAAAAAAAATAAATGTTAAACTATATTAAATTATATTTTGCATTTAGTAACTGAACCCCCTTTTTATGACCATAAACATTGCTCTCAATGAAATTCATACCAAGGCAGTGTAATGCAAATACTGCTTATACTACTACTACTTGAATAATTGGCATAAAATAAAAGCCATACAACAAATATTACAATGATTTTAAAATACTTTACAATCTAAATAATGCACCAAGAATTATATATATATACATACATACATACATGTATATATTAGGCATTACAGTAATGTTAATTTAAGCTTTTAAGCAAAATATAATTCCTTGTTTTTGATTTTATAGATTTTATGTGATATTTGGGGTGAAAAAAAAAGTACCAGACATGTTTTTGACAGTGATTATCACCTCTGTGTCTGAGAACACTTGCCATACCAGCTTTTGTGATCACACAAGCTTTGATAACAAACCCATTAATCCAACTATGAAGTTTGTTCATATCCTGGTGTCAACAGCCCTTTATTGATCTGATTACAGCTCGAGTTAAAGTACTTGAGGTTTATTATTATGCAGCATACTTTTCCAATATTTTTTAAACTGATTTTGTACATGTATCTATGCCACCACATTGAGTTTGAGCGACAGAAATGTGACGTTTGCGAGTGTGTGCGAGTGAGCGGTGCCTTGAACAGCGGCTACACCATTACTGTGAACTATTTATGAACACAAAACCCTTTCAGAGAATGTGTGTGCGTTTTAATGTTAAAAACATGAGCAGGCTCATAGTATATAGACTCGTCTCCGCTTCCTCACATGTACACTGTATGTAAATATGTATGTTGGTCATATAACAGAATTGCTCACGGTACTTCCATCTGAAAGTCAACTTGAATCAGTTCCTTTATCCTGTAGAATAGATGGTTGCCTGAATGATTTTTGGTTGACTGGACAAGTATCAACACTATTTAATATTCCTTCTGGGACCTGAATATAAAATCTAAGAGGAAAAATAAGCCAGAAAGCTGTTTTCTGTCATGAACAGTTACATGCATCCTCCTTGAATGTGCCCTGTACAATCTTCTTCCCACCGAAGTCTTTGCCATTTTTGTGTCTGATGCCATATTGAGGTCAAGAGATTACAGATTAAATGTTATTGGTTGCCTGCATTGTCTTATGTCATCAACATCAAGTGCCTTACCCAGAAGCACTAGAGGCATTGTTCTGTGTTAACTCCCATTTGATAATGTTGCCTGTTAAGGAAGAGGCCAATGGGTTACATGGGCACATTTTAAAGCTGGCAGACATTTTCCTACTGTACACTCCTACATTTTATTGTTGTGTGAGACACAATAGAAACCGATCATTGACATGTGGCATCATTTCATTTTGATTAAAGATGAAGACACTGCAAACTCATGAAAGCTGTTAGAGTTGTCAAGTTTGGGGAGGTTTTCCTTTTCAAAGGAGCGAGGAAGGATTTTATGCTTTTAAAGTATGAAGTGATAACCAAAGTTTTGTGCTGAGAATCGATATTAAATGACACATTTGGTGATGCTGTTGCTTATGGAACCATCATAGATTCAAGCTATTTGCATGGGAGAGACAGTGGCTTTTTAAAAAAAAAATGTTACATTGGTTCTGTTACCAAATCATCCATAGATTTTCCTCTAGTTGGATATTGAGCGTCATTTTGTGAATTAGCAATGCACAAAATAGGAGCGCTCACTTCTCCTCACCAGGTCACCATTGTTCTCATTATTAAGTATGCAGTAATTTTTTTTTTCCTTTGTACTGCAGATTTGCTGTAGTTTCAATGCATATTGCACTTTGTACATTTTGTTGATGTACTGTATGTGTTTATTATGGGAATAAACTTTTTCATGCAATCTTTTTTGTTTTTCCTTTCATACTTTAATGTAAGCCATTTTAGACTTTTTTTTGGATTGGTTAACACATAGTATAGTATTATGACATCATAGTGTGCCATCTGTGCTCATATTCTGGCACGGTTGTGGCTTTAGAGCAGTCAGCTTATGCAACTACAGGCTAGACCTCCTTGTGTGCATGACGTCAGAGGTTTTATTGCAGGCTTTGAGGTTGTAAGAGGGTGGTTAATGTCCTTCAAGTCTTCTCAGAATAAGTGCACAGGATCAGTCTGTGCATTTCATTTGGGGTGAAATGCAGCTGGTACTTTATAACTGGTCTTTTGTAAAGAAATAAAGTTATGCTAGTAGACAAATCAGTGAGGAAGCAGAAAATACATGATTATTGTCATTTATGATCAAAGGATAGAGATAAATGTAGTAAATTTTAATAATCAATACTAATTTGTTATAATTGATTATGAATATATGGATCAGTTACAGATTAAATGTTATTGGTTGCCTGCATTGTCTTATGTCATCAACATCAAGTGCCTTACCCAGAAGCACTAGAGGCATTGTTCTGTGTTAACTCCCATTTGATAATGTTGCCTGTTAAGGAAGAGGCCAATGGGTTACATGGGCACATTTTAAAGCTGGCAGACATTTTCCTACTGTACACTCCTACATTTTATTGTTGTGTGAGACACAATAGAAACCGATCATTGACATGTAAATGTAGTAAATTTTAATAATCAATACTAATTTGTTATAATTGATTATGAATATATGGATCAGTTAATAGCATTAACTTAATGTAGTAAAATTAATATTACAATCAATTAACCTGTTTGTGCCTTGAACACTCAGTGTTAATTGTTTTTTAATTCTACTGTAGGGTATTATTCAAAGCCTGTCGTCAAAATCTATTAAATGATATGTTGGCTTTACTTTTTTTTTTTTTTTCGTCAACAGATTCCACATAACTACCCTAAACAAACATCATTTGTTCATGTAACTTCAACATCATGAAATTAACTAATTTTAACCGACCCAATTTAAGTAGTCTCAATGTGAACTTGTAATGGCTTCCTGACATGCAGGTATTATTTTATATTCATTCATTCATTTATATTTCATTTATTTCAGTGATGCATAATTAAATTGATAGACTATAGCTAGCTTTTTGCTATCAGTAGCACATATTAGCATCTTGAATGCTAATATTAACATGCTCATTCAATCAATGCAAAAGAAATGCAAAAAAAAAAAAAAAAAAAAACGCTCCATTCTTCTCCACAATGGTAACCCACTGTAATTTAAATGGTTTAATAATTTCAACATTTTACATTAAACACAATTACACACTGTCAAGTCTTCCCTTTTCTAAATGTATTAAAAACAAATAACACAGTCTCATCCCAAAAAGTCATATAACTGACGTTTTGGGACGTATTTTGACCATACGTCAATATCCGCCTTTTTAGGGCCCCCTTAAACGTCGGTAGATGGCGATCCCGGGCCGTCATACAACTGACGCTTTACCTTTAACGTCAGTTAGGTGACTGGTTAGGTTTAGGGTTAAGTTTAGGTCTGGGGTAGAGTTAGGATCCCATAACCTCATCTACCGACGTTTAAGGGGGCCCTAAAAAGGCGAATATTGACGTATGGTCAAAAGACGTCCCAAAACGTCAGTTATATGACGATTTGGGATGAGACCGGGTTGAAACAAACAACTATAACACTTAATTTTAACATTTATTCTCTCTTAATTCAACCATATGCAAAGCATGCTGGGAAAAAGCACCGTCCAGTTTCAGTTAATACAACACAAATCAGTCATGTCATCCAACACAAATGGATTAAGTAAACTTAAATTGTACATATATTTAAGCAGATTGAACACAATCAAATAAAGTTCGGGCAAAATGGCAGTTGGCTCGCTGTCACCCTCTGGATGTAAGTTAGGATTTTGTTAGGATTAGGACGAATTTTGTTAGGATCCTAGCGAATTTCTTTACAACCTTTTGTTCAAGCAGGCTTTTGAACGTGTCATTTGATTGGGTGTTTAACAAAAGAATATTTAAGATTCTTATAATACTAATACGTCACAAAGTTAGGAAAATGCAACGTAAATTAACAAATGGCGGGCGAAGATTGGTTTTTATAGAGACTGACCATTTTGGTTAACCATATATCCAAGTATGAAACATTAATCCAGAATAGTTTAAAAGAGAGAATGAATAGTACAGGCCAAACCACATAATAGGAAAATCATGAGATGGGAAAATTAGATGCATGTTTATACATTTCTTAAGTGGTTATATATAGTACATAGTATTAAAAGGGTTTATTTCTCCTTCTCAGAAAGAATTAAGTGAGAGTCACAAGTCTCTGCAAATTCCTTTTGTGGTTGCAAAAAGCCTTATCAGTCTTAATGTGTCCTGAAACAGGACTCCGGGTTCTGCCAGTGTGTTAGTTTTGGGGGAAGTTTCATAGACCTTTGTTGGGAGAGTGAGTTTGCTGGATTATTCATTAAATATAATGAATAATTTGTGTCTGATTGGTCCAGATTTTATTTTGTGTTGATGCTTTAGTTATTGATAAGGCAAATGAAGGGTCCCTAACAATTACTTGGACACTTTTGTCACAATTAAAATATGTTTGAGGACACAAAGTATCCAACAATAATGTATGTCTTGTTTTATCTTACAGTTACAATACGATATACACTCACCGGCCACTTTATTAGGTACCCCATGCTAGTAACGGGTTGGACCCCCTTTTGCCTTCAGAACTGCCTCAATTCTTCGTGGCATAGATTCAACAAGGTGCTGGAAGCATTCCTCAGGGAGTTTGGTCCATATTGACATGATGGCATCACACAGTTGCCGCAGATTTGTCGGCTGCACATCCATGATGCGAATCTCCCGTTCCACCACATCCCAAAGATGCTCTATTGGATTGAGATCTGGTGACTGTGGAGGCCATTTGAGTACAGCGAACTCATTGTCCTGTTCAAGAAACCAGTCTGAGATGATTCCAGCTTTATGACATGGCGCATTATCCTGCTGAAAGTAGCCATCAGAAGTTGGGTACATTGTGGTCATAAAGGGATGGACATGGTCAGCAACAATACTCAGGTAGGCTGTGGCGTTGCAACGATGCTCAATTGGTACCAAGGGGCCCAAAGAGTGCCAAGAAAATATTCCCCACACCATGACACCACCACCACCAGCCTGAACCGTTGATACAAGGCAGGATGGATCCATGCTTTCATGTTGTAGACGCCAAATTCTGACCCTACCATCCGAATGTCGCAGCAGAAATCGAGACTCATCAGACCAGGCAACGTTTTTCCAATCTTCTATTGTCCAATTTCGATGAGCTTGTGCAAATTGTAGCCTCAGTTTCCTGTTCTTAGCTGAAAGGAGTGGCACCCGGTGTGGTCTTCTGCTGCTGTAGCCCATCTGCCTCAAAGTTCGACGTACTGTGCGTTCAGAGATGCTCTTCTGCCCACCTTGGTTGTAACGGGTGGTTATTTGAGTCACTGTTGCCCTTCTATCAGCTCGAACCAGTCTGGCCATTCTCCTCTGACCTCTGGCATCAACAAGGCATTTCCGCCCACAGAACTGCCGCTCACTGGATGTTTTTTCTTTTTCGGACCATTCTCTGTAAACCCTAGAGATGGTTGTGCGTGAAAATCCCAGTAGATTAGCAGTTTCTTAAATACTCAGACCAGCCCTTCTGGCACCAACAATCATGCCACGTTCAAACAAAGTCACTCAAATCACCTTTCTTCCCCATACTGATGCTCGGTTTGAACTGCAGGAGATTGTCTTGACCATGTCTACATGCCTAAATGCACCGAGTTGCCGCCATGTGATTGGCTGCTTAGAAATTAAGTGTTAACGAGCAGTTGGACAGGTGTACCTAATAAAGTGGCCGGTGAGTGTACAGTAACAATAATGCAGTACTGCATTTATTTGTCCCATAATAAGTTGTTTTGGTTTAGTAATATTGTAAAAATATTATTGGAAATGAAATTTTTTTTTTCTATTTTAATCTATTTTACAATTTAGTTTCAGTGTTTAGTTCACATAATCCTTCACAATCATTATAATATGCTGATTTGGCCTCTATATTTTTGTAAAAACGTTATACATTTGGTTATGTAGCTTTTTTAGTTCTAAAAAAAAGTAACTTATTTACTTACTGTAATTGCCTCTTGGTTTGTTATTTTGTTATATAATGTAGTGACATCATACATTTTTAAGTGTGGCTGAAATGCCCAAATATTTTTGGGGGTCTGTGAAATAAATATGTCCTCCTGATGGCCTTACAGAAGGAGTCACCAAGTTCTTCCACAAAAGCCTGTTTTCTCTCTTCAGTCTCAATGCCTAGTGAACTGTGTGCTGAAGTCATTTCTCCTTTATTATCTAAGAGAAAAACGAGAGCATCCTGTTATGATCATTGCCGTGGTGACCAGTCACATAACAGGAAGATTTACATGGCTTTGTTCCCTTTGTATTTGCAGTTTCTTTTCGAGAAACTTTAGTCAGTATCTCTTTATGCGATCACAGTGTCTACTCCCCTTCTGTGAATTATATCAGGAAACTTCTAAACTTTGGCCTCAGAGACTGGTACAACGGCTGTAATACTGATAAAGTGGTACCATACTAATACCATACTCTCCTCACGTCATGTATCTCTGTTACCACCATGTCTCAGTTTACACTAGAGGTCCAGTACACTTGTCTTTACGCTTAGCCTACTGCTATTTTGAGAAAAGCACAGTGCCGCAAGACAGTCACACTGTTACTTAGTACCATTGCACCCTTGGTGGAATGTGTGTAGGATTTGATCAAATGAGTGTATAGCTTAAAAAAGCTCCCTGAACAATTGAATCTCTAAATACAAAGAAATTAAACACGGAGGGAGAGATTCTTAAAGACATAAAACTGAGAATGCCTAGTTGGCACAGGATATAAACTGTACCAGTAACCTGCTGTGGGATAAAAGAGT